GGGAGGGGTGAAGATGGAGGGAGGGATGATGATGGAGGGAGGGATGATGATGGAGGGGGGAATGAAGATGAAATGGGGGGGATGAAGATAAAGGGGATTGAGGATAAAGATGTCTTGGCATTGAGGCTGGAAAACTATCTGATGAAGGGATGAAAGGAATCTACTGTAAGTTCTTGGACAAAGTAGGGACACGAGACAATTGGTATCTGAGAATGATTCTTCTAGCAGCTACACGTAAGACTGATTAAAGAAGACAGGTCCCAGACAGCAAGAACCTCTAGAAAGTTTGCAGGTACCCGAGGAGAAGAAATGGAGAGACTTGAATGCTGAACTACGGGGTTTGGACTTAATTCGCAGCCTATCTTCTGTGGACTTATTGGCTTTGCTGTGCACGTGGGTCTCTAATGTCCTCCTTTCTTTGCTTAAACCAGAGTTCCTGAGCTGCTTGGCTGCCCTCAGGACCATGGCCCGTCCTATTCATATGTGGGTGGATTCCGAGGTAAAGAGATCAGAACTCAAAGTGGAATTAAATAAAAGCAACCAGTAATGTGTCTCTCTTTTTAAAGTTGAGGTTTGATTTACTGCTTCATTTTTCTCTAAATTCTCTTTATGTTCCTGTGGGCTTCTTTTTCATTCACCATTTAAAATCCCTTGGTGCTAACTATATGTGCTGAGGAGAGGAGAAGCAGATCTTGAGGATGCTATCCATTCATCGTTTGTCAGACTTTGATGATCTCCCCTCTGACAGGGGCTACTGAAGATCTGGAGGTGAGTCGGACAGGCACCCTGCTCTCCCGCGGCTTGGAGCATCGTCATGGAGATAAGACACACGTGCAACTCACCAAGCAGGAAGTGATAAGTGAGAGAGCAGGGCTGGTGATTCAGGACCGTGGGAGTGGAGAGGAGGGAAAAATTGGTTCCAAATCTATTCACAATTTTAGAGTGGTTTACACTTGTCACAAACTCACATATTAATCTCATGATATTTTTTGCAATAGAGAATTTTTTGGAGAAAAGAGTCCCATGTTTTTCCTTAAAGGCTAAGGAGGAAAAGGTTGTAGGTATTTTTTAAAGGTTATTATAGTTATTAATTTATCATTAGCATGGGTGGACTATGGTTTTTTTCACTTTTTAATATTATGAAATAAATGATAGATATGGAAGATTGTACAATTGGGTAAAGATGGTAGATGAAACACACGTGTTACTTTTGCTCTCTCTTCACATCCCTCTACAACTAACAGTTTTAGTTTCCTGCTTTTAAAAATAAGCAAACAGCCAGGAATCCCCAGACATCTGAGGAAAGTCTCAAATATTAAAGACACAGACCAAATCAGTCGATTAAACAAACAAAGAAAAAAGACTCTGGATCAAATACTGACCATTAACAGAGAAGAACTCTTGAAACAAATCCTGTAGTTAACATCTTAAGAGAGATAAAACAAGATATTGGACCCATGAGACAAGAATGGCATGCTATACCAACAAAGTCCTCCCACAGGGCTGGAAAATAAATTGAGGAAGTTTCCCAAAAGACAGTGAAAGAGATGAAAATAGGAGAAAAATAGTGAAGCAATCTACCAATTCAAATACCAAGAGTCTCAGAAAGAGAGAACTGGAAAAAAAGAAGGAGGAGGAGAAAAAAGGAAAAGAAGGAAAGAAGTAATCATTAAAGACATCATTAAAAAATTTCCCAGAG